TGTCTGACCCAGGCGATCAGAGAATTATTTATGCTACCCAGAATTCCTTCCTCATCCCCTTTGCCTTGGGGACCCTCATTCGTCCTTCCTACTTGGGCCATGTAATGTGGAGGTTAAAAGTTTAGGATTTACAATCAGACAAACCTAGATTGTGATCCTGGTTCCATTTTTTTTTTTTTTTAATCAGCTATGTGATACTAGACAAGATTTACTAAAATTCAAGTTTTTGGTCTTTCTAATGAGACTAATCTGCACTGGGCAAATCTTTAAAGTGTTAAAAAGCAAAGCTGTCACCTTGAAGACTAAGATGCACCTGACCCAACCCGCAGTATTTTCAATTGCCTCATGTGCATGGACAATGAATAAGCTGGACAATGAATATGGAAGAATGAAGAAGAATCAATGCCTTTGAATTACAGTGTTAGGGAGAAGACTGAATATAACTTGGACTGCTGGAAGAATGAACCGTCAGTCTTGGAACAAGGACAGCCAGAATGCTCCATAGAACTAGGAGGATGGTGAGACTTCATGTCACATTCTTTGGACATGTTGTCAGAAGGGACCAATCTCTGGAGAAGGACATCATGACTGGTAAAGTAGAGGGTCAATGAAAAAGAGAAAGATGTTCCACAAGATAGATTGACACAGTGGTAGTTCAACCATGGCAACGACTGTGGGGCTGGTGCAGGACCGGGCAGTGTTTCCTTCTGTTGTACATGAGGTCACTATGAGTCAGAACCAACTTGAAGGCACCTACCACAACATGTGGGATGAAGCTGACAACAGCAACTGGAAGACTAGATAAGAACCTTGGGGGTGGGGAGAACCTTAGGGGGCAATGATTTATGTTAGTGAGGGAAGATACTTCAGAAAAGGAGGGTGAGAACGGCTGCACTTGAAGGTGCCATCAATATTGCTGAATGGTACACGTGGAAACTGTTGAGCTGGTGTGTGTTTGGCTGGGTAGAATCTCAACAACAAACTAAATAAAATTTAGAAAAAAAAAGAAAAACCCATGGGAGCACACAACACATATTGTGAAGCCTAATGCTACTACGGACTCTTGCTAATAATGGGTATCAGTGGTGTCAAATGTATCATGCCAATTGCCTGATGTTAACACCAGGAGAGACTGAACAGGAGAGAGGGGGCTTATGGGAACTCTCTGTACTTTCTGCACAATTTTTCTGTAAACCCAAAACTGCTCTGAAAAATAAAGTCCATTAAAAATAATGACAAATGCTAGCAATTTCAATGACAAACTAGGCTCACTTAGACCCTATAACTTCGATGTTTATTATCTCACTGGGTCTTCATGAGACCTGTGAGGTGGGCAGAATGGTGTTACCATCTTCTTCTTACAGAGCCTCCTTCTGAGGCTCAGAGTTCAGGAGACATGGGCCAGGTGACTGGACTAGCAGAGGGAGGCAAGAGTTGAAATCTGGAAAACTCCTGCAGAAGTTCCGTCAGGAATGAGGCTAGCCTCAGACCCTCGACTGGAGACCCATCTGCCCGGGAAGGGCTCACCCTGAACACACAGCTGCAAAGAAAGGGCCTCTGTCAAGCCAACCAGTGGAGTCATAGCAACCCTGCCAGCATCTAGGGGGGACCTGCCTGAGCTGGGCCACCTCAGCTGTCTGGGACCCAGGTACTCTGAGGCTAAAGCCTGCTCTCTCATGTTCCTCGGTACTCCACTTCAGGCAATGGTTCCCTTGGTGGAAGCCACAGGAATGCCATCTCTGAAGACCTTTCTGGGTGAGCTCTCTGTGGGTCTGACACCCGGAGAGTCTCCCCCATGAGTTGTGCTTGACTCTGCAGCATTTAAATCTTTCTCGAGTTTCCACCAAGGACCAAGAACAGTTTGTAACTACAGTTTGTTTGTCTTAAATGGAAGTAGGGAGGCTCTCATCTCTCAAGGAGGTATTCAGAGAAGCCAGGAACACACCTCAGTAGGTCTTGCTCCTACAGGGAAGCCCTCTGCTGTTGGTGGGGCCCTGCAGTGAGCAGGGAGCATGGATGGGGTGGATGTAAGACACCCCTGGGCTCACAATTAGGTCAAAGCCTTACCATGTCCTGACCTGTCTTTCAGACTCAACCTTGAATGTTGACCTTCCTTGGGTCCAAACAAAAAAACTGAAACCTGTTGCCATGGAGTCGATTCTGCCTCATAGCCACCCTTTAGGACAGAGTAGAACTGCCCCCACAGGGTCCCTGAGGCTGTAAATCTTTACAGAAGCAGATGGCTACATCTTTCTCCCATGGAGTGGGTGGTGGATTTGAACCGGTGACCTTTCAGTTGGCAGATGAGTGCTTAACTGCTGCACCACCAGGGCTCCTTATGACTTCCCAATAGACCAGGTGCCATTAAGTCAAATCCGACTCATGGGAACCCCATGCGTGTCAGACCAGAACTGCTCCGTGGGGTTCCCAGTGGGTGTCTGTGCTGATTTTCCAGAAGTACACCATCAGGTCTTCCCCACCACACACCTGAGGTGCCTCTGGAGGACTCAAACCGACAACCTTTTGCTTAGCAACCAAGCTCGTTAACCCTTGCACTGCCACCACTCCTCCCCAAATAGAAGGGCTTATGATGAGTTTTTGCCACCTGCTTACTGTTTTGCTATAAAGTAAAATAAGCAGTAAATCCAAGGGGCAAATGGGTTGGAAAGATTGAGAAGAAGATAGGATGGTGGCGCAAGGAGGACATGGCCGGCGGGGAGGCCACGGCCCGGAAGTACCCTGGTGGTGACGTTGACGGCGGTGTCAGACAAGCTCCTCCTCTCCGTCCGACATGTTCTCTGCCTGGGACCCGCGGCCAGGAGGCGTTTGTCGGAGGTCACGTCGTTCTGGGACTTGGAGAGCTCTAGAAAAGAAATACGAGGGGTGACCAACAGGAACATGCAGCTTTGCCAAGACCGTCAAAGTCCTGTTGGAGGTGCCCCCACAGCCCAGTCTGGGGGCCTGAGGTCTGCAAGGGCAGAGCTCGGAGGAAGCACAGACAGCACACCCTGTGGGGGCAGTGGGGCCTGGGGAAGCACAGAGGGGCCCGGAGAGTCCCTGAGACTGCATGCTGGATGCGGGCACACAGCCCAGTGTCAAGGGTGGGAAGGGAGCTAACTCCTTTCAGGATGACTCGGTGGGCCCCAACCGGGAAGGTGAGAACCCCCACCACGACTGGAGTTAAAGGGCAGCTCCAGACCACCCCTCTGCCTTCCGGCTCCTTCAGTCATCGGGATGGTGTTACATGAAGACTGTCATGAGAAACTCCCAGTTCTTGGTTACAAGTGTGTGATGTCCAGATAAAAAGATGATGCCCTTACACCGTCCAATCTGTAGCCTATACGACTATGAGACCAGAAGAACTAGATGGTGCCCGGCTACCACTGTCAACCACTCAGAGGGGGATCTATGTAGGAGACCCTGGATAGAGAGAGAGAACAATGTGGAACAAACTCAAAACCATTTGGAGGAACAAAAGGGGGGTGCAGGTTTGCTGGTCTGATAGAGCCTGGTGGAACCACTGAGACTATGGCCCCTAGCTGCCCATCAGGTCTGGAACTGAACCCACACCTGTGGCTCCCAGCCAAACAAAAGACAGGCATGAGTTGAACATTTACTTCAGGTAGATACTCTCCTTGGAGAGAACAATCATGGGAGAAAGAAGGGCTGTTTATGGACAGGGAGACAGCTCAGGGGGCAGGAGTGCATGGAGGGATGGACACAGGGAAGAGGTAACTATCGGGAGGAAGTGGGAGGGGAACTGTTGCATTGTGGGAAATTGTAGTCAATGTCATGAAACAAAGTATATGTGAACTGCTGTATGGAGAGTGAATTTGCTCTGTAAACTTTCACCCAAATCACAATTAAAAAAAAGAAAAGTTGCTGCCCTGACAAGCCAGCAGGCTTCTCGGGGTTCCTTACGGAGACTGCACATCCAAATGCCCTTTCCTGTGGGATTCCTTCCAGCTCCCTTAGTAAGCAGCTCCTGAAAGACGACTTCAAACTTGTTTCTATAGTGTAACACTGGTCTGAATAAAGATGCAGAAAAGAAGAAGCAAGGAGCCACACAGCAAAGTAACAGAACCACTCAAGAACAAACGCTGCCTGCAAACACGACTGCCTCTTCCAAGGGTCCTCAGCCCTCGAACGTGGGCCTCAGAAACCATCTCTAGAGGAGCAAGCTGCTGTGGCCACGTAGTGATGGACTAGCAAGCCACATAGCAATCCAATGCAGGACAGACGTTATTCCAAATTACTAGAAGCCACACGAGAAAAAGTGAAACGAAACAAGTGAAATGAATTTTAGTAATATATTGAGTTGATCCGACTCACGGCGACCCCTTCTTGGGTTTCTGAGGTGGTATTGCCCAACCTTCCTTCCGAGGAGGAGTCGCTGGTGGGTTTGAATGGCCAGCCTTCTGGTTAGCAGTCAGATGCCTTAGGCATTATGCCACCAGAGCTCCCATATTTTAAATCATAATGTTTTACTTAGCCCAATATATCCAGAATATTCCTTCTGAGATGTGCAATTAATAGAAAAATGATTAATGAGATAGTTTACGTGTTTCCATGCCAGCCTCGGAAATCCGGTGTGCATTGTGTTCTCAGAACACCCAGGACCCCACATGTGCTGGCAGCTCCTGTACTGGACGGCATAGCCCATTGGTCACTGAGTGGACATCACAGGAACCCTTAGCCTTGTGCACTGCCCATGGCTAAGTCTGTAGAATGTCTGTCCTTTCAAGAGAAGACCCCAGACTATATCCCCCATGTGTCCACTCTTCCACCAGGCTGTGCCCGGGCCTCTCCCCTCTGAGGCCAATACGGCCCCTGCTCCCTCAAGTCCCCCCCTGGACCCCCTGCGGCATTTCCTATGTCTGGGACCTGGAAGGGGACCACGTGCACACCAGTCCTCCAAGCTGACGAAACACTAGGTGAAACCTTCACCAGCTAAGTCCCAGGCTGGCTGAGACCGGAAGCCTCTCATCTCAGGCCCACAGGGGAGGTTACTCCCCGCCGTCTGCTCTCCTCTCATCCAAACCCCGTGCCTGCGTTTGGCCCACTTCCATCCACTCATCGGGAGAAGCCTCTCCAAGCAGCTCAGGCTCTAACAAGCAGGCGGTTAGGTGCCGTTAGGGCCGAAGATGAAACGGAGAGAGAGGAGCCCCGCGGCTCCAGGTTTCTCATTCTCTCTTCTTCCTCAGGAGCTGTTTTGCTGAAATTAGACATGCACTGTTGATACAAAGACTGCACTAACTAACTGGCTACTGCCAGCTGCCTTGGCTTCCGGGCCATCAGCAGCCAGAGATGGTCATTCGGGGCCAAGTTCCAAAACCCCTTGGCTTGGGCTGGCCTCCCCGCAGTGCTCTGAGCCCTTGGGGTCCTGGAAGAGTCTGGGGTCCTACTTCACACTCCTCCCGTGACTCCAGGCTCCAATTTATTTTCTTTCTTGCCATCCCCCTCTATAGGGAAACGGCACAGAAAAGATCAAAAGGCACACGCGGCAAATAGCTCAAAACTTGAGGAAGATGAGCCAGCATCTCCAACAGCCTCTTAAAAAAGACAAAACAGTTGCCACCAAGTCGACTCCAAATCGTGGCGCCTCATGTCAGAGCAGACCGTGCTCCTCGGGGTTTTCAGCGGCTGATGTTTTGGATGCAGATTGGCAGGCCTTTCTTCTGAGGCTTCTCTGGGTAGATTCAAACTCCCTACCACCTGCATCACTCCAGGACAACACTCCCCACCGCACTGAATGCCCTGCTGCTGGATTCGTGAGGCAGCCTGTGTGGGGCTCACGGTACATCATCATTCTCAGGAGGCCAGAGGCTGGGGGTTTCTATCCCTACCTTGAGTCCAAGTTCTCAGTGTGCTGGGAAGTCCTAGAGGCCGGACAAGCAGGGACCACTGAGGGAGTGGGATGCAGGCTAGGGGTTCTCAGTCAACTTCCTACATCAGAAAAGGGCTGTTGCTTTGCTCTTGCCAAGTGCAGCCCATGGAGCAGCTCTGGTTGCTGTGAAAGATGCTGTGGTTCAGGGGACTGGACATGTGGGATATTTGCACAGGTGGGGGAAGGGGCCTTAGTAACCGCCAGCACACGCGCCTGCCCTGCACGTGGCTCCACACGGTTGAGGGCGGCTGTGGATGGGGCAGGTGGAGTGGTGTCCAGCCTCTGGGCCTCTGTGGCGGAGTGATGGAAAGGGGTGGGACTAGTCCCAGGCCCTGAAGCCAGTGGCATGGTGAGGGGTCACATCAACCACGTGGATGCAGGCGGGGCTGTGTGTCCAGGAGATGCAGAGAAGGGCCCAGAAGAGCCAGCTGGCCAAAGAGCACAGCTGGACCACCGGAGCCAGTCCGAGGCCGCTGTGCACAGCTGCTGGGGGAGGGCACTGGAAGCCTCTAGGTGCTATTGCAAACAGGGGCCTTGAACTTGGGGATCCCTCCCTTCTGCAGGAGAAGGATCCCCCTGCTGCCTGAGACAGCCCTGTCTGGGGCACGTAGTAGGTTAGCCAGGGCAGCTGAGAGGACAGGTGAGTCATTAAACCCAAGGGTAAGATTGTCTCCAAGCCGCGTGCAACCATGAGACCTTACTATGCAACTGCAATAAACTCAGGAGAAGGAGAGGACACTCACCAAGCCCCTGTCCTCAGTGCCCTCGTGGCCAGCCTCTAGAATACACGAGAGGGTCTATCCTTCAGGACCCGAGTCTTAAGATAAACAGGACAACAGATCTGAGCAGAAAGAACCCAGGAAGAGACAGTGCCAATTCTCAGTTGCTTGCTTCTGCAAATCCAGGCTAATTGAAGAAGATAAATTTACCAAAAACTAAAAACCAAACTCACTGCTGTTGAGTCGATCTGGACTCATAGCAACCCCTTCTTGGGTTTCCGTGGTGGTATCTCTACCACCAAGTAGATTGCCCAGTCTTCCTTCCGAGGAGTGGCTGGTGGGTTTGAACCGCCAGCCTTCTGGTTAGCAATCAAATGGCTTAGGCATTATGTCAAAATTTACCAAGGAGAGTGGAAAAGTCATGCCACAAAGAAGAGGGACATTGGCTCCCTGACCCAGCCTGGAAGGCTCTGGTTTTATGTCACTGTAATCCTATCACATTTCTCTGTTGGCCCTTGGGAGAGTCTGAAGAGAAAGTCAGTGTAGCTTCAAACTCCCTCCTCCTTGTGGAGCTGGTGGGGGGCGGGGAGCAGGAGGAGACCAGGCAGCCGAGTGGCCACTGTGCCTGGGAAGAGTGGACAGCCCAGTGCTGGGGCTTCCCTCAGTCCTGTGCTGGGTACAGTCCCCGCCTAGGTCACTGCCAGGCTTGGCTGGCCTGCCTGGCTGTGGGAAGAACATAGAGAAAGACATCCACTTACTTTTCATGTGGCTGGTAACAGACAGAAACAAGTTCTCCACGGACTTATTAAATCCTTTAAACTGACCAAGTTCTTGTGACTGAAAGAGACAGAAAGAGAGAGGACAGTTACATCTGATGGCCTGTGTCTGCCCCAGCAGCCTCAACACTGTCAACCCCAAATCACTGGCTGGTGTGTGCAGGTGTGGGTGTGTGCAAGTGTGCACACTGAGGTGAGTGTGTGCATGTGGGAACATATACAGGTGTGCGAGGCATGGGTGTGTGGGAGGGTGTTACAGATGTGGGTATGGTGGTGTGTATGCAGATGTGAGTATACACATGTGGGAATGTGTGCAGGTGTGCAAGGTGTGGGTGTGTGCATGTGCATGTGTGTAGGCGGGGTGTGCAGTTGTGGGTGTGTAGGTGTAGGGTGTGCATGTGTGTGGGCATGTTGCTATGTGCAGAAATGTGTGCCAATGTGGGTGTAGGTAGGCTGTGCAGGTGGTGTGTGTGCAGGTGTG